CCAGCTCTGAGTGCTAGAATGAAGCAGCAGCATTGGGACCCTGGCTCTGTAGTTGGGTGGCTAGCCCCTTCCACCTCTGTAGCTGCATTCTGTTTTTAGCACACCAGGTAATGAGAGCTGGGGCAAACATGTCTTCTGGAACTGAGAATCACACCCCCAGCTTGTAGTGCAAACAGACTCTAACACACTTATAAAACTGTGTGGGGTTTCATCTTTGCTTTTCCCCCGTGTCTTAGGATGGCCAAGCTCCACGTGCCATACCACTGCCTGGATATGCAGTCAGTCTACCAAGTTCTGGTGAGAAGTTTGAAGTGAAACACGTCTTTAAGCTTTGCCAGTCCCAGCAAACTACATATTTCAGTGCAGAGGATGAAGAACTGCAAACAAAATGGATGGAAATCCTCACCAAAGCAGCTAAAGGAGAGATTGAAGATCTAGCTGAAGGAATCGGTCAACTGTAGAGCAAGCTCCATTTAGTTTCTTTAGTACATGCTATAAACCATCACTTGAATTCAGTATTCATGGCACTTTGGAATCTGTATGGCTTTATAATTTCATGAGTCCGCATAGGAATTTCAGTGTTTTTTCTGCTTTCATTGTACATTTATCACGTACAGTGCTAGCTGTCTGGAACATATTATGTTAAAGAAAAGAGTAGTTGTAGTTGTTGACAGTGTTTATGCTGGTTTTACATAAAGAGGCAAGGGAAAAGCATTAATTTGATCAAAGGTATCAGAAAACCATCAGTCTCTTGTTTTCCTATATGTATATTTTTTTCAGTCCTTTTGATTGCTGTTCAGTGCAAGATGTGTATAGTCTGTGATTAGTTATATAAATGCTACCTTTAAGGTAAATGTTGTAAAGGCTTGTGGCTGGCCACTGACATTCCGTTCTCTGTCCTTTCCCTTCTGATAAAATGGTCTTTGTGAAATGTAAGCAATGTATTGAATTTTTTTTTTTTTTTTGCTAAAAGTGTTTGTCTCTACTATTTTGAGATGACGTGTTCACAAGACATACTGTAGAAGAGACTTCTAATTGCTGCAGATTATGCAGAAAAGAACGTTGAGAAGTCTGATTAATATTAATCTGTTATATATATTTTCTCTTTTGAAAACACCTTCCTGATTTCCTTTCTGAACCTGTTTTAATGTAAGTGAACAAACATTTTATACTGAAAACTGGGTCATGACCAATAAACAAGAACATTTTTAGTACACACAGTACAAAAAAGTGACTTTTTATTGTTGTTGTATTGGTTAACTTTAAAGTAATCTGGGATTTATTTATATAATTTGTAAATAATGTTACATGAGTATTTTAAAACATTTTAAAAGTTTTGTGCTAATAATCAGATTTAGTCAATAGAATAAGAGATTTGTATGAAATCAATTTGTAATTTAATTTTCCTGTTTATCTGTATTTGTCTGATTTTCACACTTAAGTGCTTATCTATTTAAATAAAATCCATGCAGTTAACTCCTGAGCCAAATCTCCAAGATACTGCAAGCTTTAGATCAACATTTAACATAGGTACAGAATGAGAGTAATGTCTATTTCTAGTGATAGCAATCGTGTAGTGCTGATATGCAAAGGGAAAAATAAAATAAAGTATTACATTATTGTACTTTTAAATGGTTTCATTTAACTTTTGTTTCCTCTTCAGCCTTCTACATTTTCTAGCTGACATTTATAAAAAGGAGAAAGCTGATCCAGACAGCCAGAGTTTTGTTAGCAGTGTCAAAAATTAAGGTTCTGCACCAGTGAGTATTTCCCTTATTAAAGAAGCCACTGTGCTGATAAAGGATTCCGTTGTTTGTTTATTTTGAATTAATGAGTCCCGATCCATAGCTCTATAGTTGTAAAAATAAAATCCATGCATGTAATGAGCTGCCAATACAACTTCATGTAGTTGAGCCCACCACAATGAGCAGTGGGCTATGATTAGAGACAGTCAGAAAATGGAAAGTCTTGTTTTGCAAATGTTCTCAAAGTTAGTTTTGTTCTGTAGGTTTTGAAAAGAAATTATTTTTATTTTTTTTAATTTTAACGATTTTTTTGTTTTGTTTTGCAGTTTGTCATTACTCTCATCCTTCTGTATGCCATTGAAAAGGGGAGGGGGAGGAGGAAAAACAGATGATAATCCAAAAAAGAGAAAAGGTTATTCTCCCCCCGCCCTCCTCCTCAGTTTTATTAAGAAAACAATTTCCAAAATAGAAACAAAAACTACCCCTGCCCTTAGGGGGAGGGGGGTGGAATGAGCTGGTCAAGTATGACAAAATCCACATCTAGTCATCGTAAATTCCTCAGCTCAGCACCCTTCTCAAATACGTAAAAAGCCTGTTCTAGCATATTTAGAAGATCAGAATATGAGGGTGCTTGCTGGCCAAGAGGGGAAATGTGGCCCAGAATGAAAAATCTCCTGAGAGAATGCTCTATTAGCCACTATTCCCAGTTAAGATGGGATTGAGCAGGTGTTTGCGGCTGATCATGACTCCCAGCAGAGAGAGGTGGTGTCTCATAAGTAGGACCCAAACAGTGGGCTTTGGCTTTGTAGATTGAAGGCAAAATCTTAAAATTCCACCTGAAAATCAACAAGTGGCCTATGCAGATTCCAGATTTCAAAGCTCTGGCATTTTTTTACCTCAGTCTAAAAATACTTTTTGTCCAAAAATATCCTAGCATCTACCAAGACCTTGAAATTGCAGACCCGTGTTAAGCTGGGACCTCTCTCCATCAGTCAGGGCTCTCAGGATAGCTTGTGATAAGTCTTCCAGGGTCAACTAGCTCATTCTGTGAGGCTAAAAATAGCCATGGAGGCGTTCTGACTTAGGCTGGAGTCTGGGTTCTGAACTCAGCAAGGGGGAAGTGTCTCAGAATTTGGGCTGTAGTCCAAATGGCAGTGTCTGAATTGCTGTTTGTAGCTCTGTAGCACAAGGCAAAGGCAGCTGAGCCAAGGTCTGAGACTTGTTGCCAGGGGTTTATCCCACACCCCCATCGCCATGTAGCTGTACCTACAGTTCCTTTCCTTGCTCTACAATATCACTTCTCTTGTCTGGGCTGAATATTTTTCTGATTACACTCCCATTGCAGTCAGCGGGACTCTCTCTGCTGGCCACGGGGAAGGGAGATTGCAGAAGACCCTTAGGGTATGTCTACACTGAAATGTAAGTCTGTGCTCAAGGGTTAAATCCCTTGTGTCTACACTGCAATTGCACTAACGCGTGGCTCAGACCAAGGGTCACAGGACTCTGCATGGTTGGAGTCAAGCTGGGATCCAGGGTCAAAGCCCTATTATTCTGCAGTGTAGTTGCAGCCCCACTTAACTCAAGTCCCAGGAATCATTTGGAGATTTCCCACAATTCTGAGGAACAACTGTTTTATTCCTCTCTAGCCCAGCAACCCGCAGTGCACTTTGTTGGAAATGGAAGGCCCTGGCCCCCTAGGCAAACAGCAGCAGCTCAAGTCAGCATTAACGCCTTTTGTTCTGGTCAACCCTCAGCAGGCCCGCTGCCAATGAGCCTCCTGGGTGTGAAACGGAGCAAACCCAGCAAGGCTTTTGCAAAGTGAGCTGCAGGGCAGGCACAGTGCACCACAGTCCTAGAGCTAGAATGGCCACATTTCGGAAGATTGAAGGGGCGAGGGACTCTGGAACATGGTTACTTTGACTCAGGTCTGCACACTGAGCACTAGATTGGGATTAAAATTCAGTAGAGATGCTCAAGCCCAGGAAGGGACAGATGACCATTTTGCGGGGCCCCGGGCAGCATAATTCCGCGGGGGAAATGCGGAATGATGTCATGCGCATGCGCGGTGGCGCCACGGCACATACGTGGGGCTTTCTGAAGCCCGGGGCAGCTGCCCCGTTTGCTGTGCCCTATATCCGCCCCTGAGCCCAGGGTTCCCTAACATGAGTCACTCACCGTGGGCTTACATTGCAGTGAAGATACATGTTTGGAGAGTTAGCTTCATTCTAAGTCCAATGTTATGCAAGGCATTGGGTCCTTTCTTCTTGGGTCATAACTGAGCTATAGGCTGGCTGCTTATGGGAAGTGAGTGGTCCAGTGATTAAAAAGGCCGAGCCTGGGAAAGGTTTGACTCTAATAATGTGTACTTCATTTAGATTTGTAGATGCATATTACTCCATATTTCCTTTCAGCTGGGTTAATTCACATGCCCTGCTGTGTCAGGAAACCATTGCCTTCCATCTTATATACTTATGCAAATGAGGATTTTATTAAAAACAAATTACTATCTAGTTTTGCATGATAACTATCCTAAGATTGCAATCAGCTAAGTCAGAGTTCACTAATTCTCAGAATCTATTTGTGTATATGACATATGTCAACGGTGTGCTAAGACTTGCTAGGTACAATGGTAATAAGGTGAGAATATTTTTTAATGATCAATAATAAACTAGGAATTATAATTTTTTTGCAAGAGTTTTTTTTTACATTGTGTTATGAATATGATACAAGTAGGAAACAGTCTGAATTACATACTCTTAGTCATTCAGACCTTTCCTTTATTGATATGGTTGTTCAAAGTAAGACAAACGAAAATAAAAAATGAGCAGGCAGTTATCAGCACTCCACATCTGCACCAATGTGCAAAGATATCACCTTTGCCTTTATTCAAATCTAAGATTGTGATACCAAAACATTTGTTTCCTGTGTCTGTTTCTTGTAGTCTCGTCCATATCTGTATCCTACCAGAGGTTCCCAGAAACAGTTGCAGAGCAGGTACTGAAAATGAAGTTTAAAGTTTGTGGTTAAGCTATGTGATGCATATTTCACTTCCTGTGTTGTCTTTCACTTGTAATACTGAATGTTAACTGCTAAATATAATTGGATGTGTATCCTGTAAACCTACTTACACTAGTATATTCCTTAAAAAAACCTCATCTTATCTAAGGTTTCTCTTTTCTGTTCTTCAATCCATATGTCACTTTTTGTTTGCCCTGTGCTGTTGTCTGTTTCACTCGGCTGGACAGTCTTCAGGCCTAAGTAAGCTTGAGTGAGTTGATTGATTACATTTTACTGTAAAATGTAAGGGTCAGAAACGCTTCAGAAAACAGTCACTGTCTGTCCATAGGTGCTGTAAGATCTGTGATCACAGAAGATTAAAATAGGAAGAATTATGTGAATTTTTTTGGTGTCACACAGACGTCTTCTACTCTCTTGTCAAAAGAGAATGAAGCTAAATAAGTTTCTCCCTATTATATGCTGAGAGTACTAAGATAAATTGTAGGAATATTATTTATTTTTATTTTTATTGAGAATAAAATACCAGAAAGTGCACCTATCTCACTAATATTTAATATACAGCAGACTTCCGATAATCCGGCACCTTTGAGACCCAGGGGGTGCCGGATTATCAGGAGGTACTCCAGCAGGGGGGCTGTGACGGGTCTGGGAGGAGAGGGGGTGAGGGCAGGGAACAGCGTGGCGTGGGGCCAACCCGGCAGCACCCCAGCTGCTCTGTCCCACGGCTTCCCTAAGTCCACCGCTGGTCAGTTTCAGTAGCAGCGGACTTGGGGAAGCCTTGGGGAAGAGCAGCTGGGGTGCTGCCCAGTTGATCCCGCAGCGCTGCCCCTCACCCCCCTGCTCAGTGCCTGGCAGCACCCCAGCTGCTCTGCTCTGCAGCTTCCCCAAGTCCGCCGCTCATCAGTTTCAGCAGCAGCAGTGGTGGACTTGGCAAAGTGGCATGGAGCAGAGCAGTTGGGGTGCTGCCGGGCGCCAAGCAGGGAGATGAGGGGAGGCACTGTGGGACCAACCCGACAGCACCCCAGCTACTCTGCTCTGCGCCACTTCCCCAAGTCCGCAGCTGGTCAGTTTCAGCAGCGGCAGCAGCGGACTTGGGGAAGCAGTGCAGAGCAGCTCCAATTGTCCGGCTGGCCAGAGCGCTTCCGGGTTCCAGTTGGTCCTGGACTATCGGGAGTGCTGGACCACTGGATGCCGGACAATTGGAGTTTTACAGTATTATAATACATTCCCTGCTGTTGTACCACAGTAAACTGTAGCTTAGCAAAGTGACTTAGTTAAAAACAGGAGAGGGGTAGGAATGTTATATTGGCCAAACAGTAATTCAGAAACACATCTGAGCAGAAAGTCCATGCCTCTTCTGACATTCCAGTAAGAAGCATCATGGTGGAAAGCACTAGATCAGGAAGTTCTGAGTTCTAATCCAGGTTTAAATAGCATCTCTGTATGGGAAGGGGATGAGTTCCTTATGGAAGTCCAGTCATTCCTCTGTATTTTTCCTTAGTTCCATATCCAGTTGGTAGGGTTGCCAGGTGTCCAGTTTTGAACTGGACAGTCTTGTATTGATGCTGCTTTGTTATTATTGGGGCAGATATTGGCTCTGCTCCCACAGGTGTTATTTGCCCAGGCTTTATGGGGGAAACTGAGGCACTCAGGCAAGAGGGGACTTCCTGCCTAGTAATCACCATTCTCTGTCCTGCCTCAGCCACACTCCCAATACATTCCACACACCCTTATTGTTAAAAAAAAAAAGCAATTATGTGTGACTACAAGATATACAGTACATCCTCCCAAGCTCTGTCTAGCCCACCTCAGCCTCCTCACTGGGAAGAGATTGTAGTCCTCTAGACATCTTTGGT